TAGAGGATAGCCTCCCGCTCACAGCCAGCAAGAAACTGGCCTTCAGTCCTCCAACTGGCAAGGAACTGAATTCTTCCAGCAAAACTTGTAAGCCTAGAAATGGATCTTTCCCCAGTCAAGTCATGAGATGAGACCACAACCTCAATCAACACCTTGACTGCAAATATGAGAGATTCTGAACTGGAAAACCTAGATGAGCCACGCACAGACTCTGGACCTGGAGAAAATGTGAGATTAAAAATGTATGCTGTTTTAAGGCGCTGCCCTCATTGTTATTTGTTATACTGCAACAGATAAATAAAACACTGTTCAACCATGTAGCAAGTTGATGATTTCCATAATGTGATAGTATTTACTTTTACTCATATCAAACATTTGATGTTAAGCACGTAAAACACTGCTGATGCAGTAATGAATACAACATACTGCTTACCCTTGAGGAGCTCACAGTCTAAGGAATGTCAGATATTCAAGCAACTGGTCATAACACAGTGGGGCGAACATTTTAACAGGGATATAAACTAAATGGTATAAACCATGTTGCTTATTTACACTTTTCTAGGCACAACATTGCTTATTTACACTTTTCTAGGCACAACATTTACACTTTTCTAGGCACAACATGGTTTAAGCCTGCATCTGGAAAAAAATGTAAGGGTCTCATATGGCATACAGATACTAAAAATTCACTGTTGAAGGTGTTTACAAAGTAATCATCTGTACATTCCTGACCAGGAATAAGTATTACAATGAAAATAACTGCTATCACAGAGAACAAAACCTTCAAAGAAATGGCTTTACATAATTGTAATCATGACTCTATTGTCCTTCCACAAAACTGTGAAAAGTCCAACCTGATTCTCTCCCTCCTACAAGTTCTTTCTTCCTATTGGATAGTATTTTGAGATATGGTGCTTTCAGAATAGCAAAGCTAAGATATTACTTGGCATTTAGGCTTATTAGTAGGTATATCATAGATGTTCAGGCGCAACAACAAAAATATCTTTGTTTTTTTGGAGTCCAAAGTCCGGAATGCGCTATTTTGTGTGTATAAACAATAAATCTCAATCATTATTCTTATATCTAGAATAATTTGCTCTTCCTACAGACTGAACATGTGTTTTTCTGATGAAAACTTTCGTGATCAAGACTCCAAGATATAAAATAATATAAAACTAATATCAATTTTTTAATTAAATGGTTGCCATGTGCTAAATACCTTACTTAATAGTAGATTATCTCAATTATGGCTCATAAGAACTTGGTAAGTTAGAAACTTATTATCCACATCTCACAGATAGAACTGAAGCCACAGAGGTTAAGTAACTTAAGTAACTTGCTTGAGGTAAGGGGGACTGAGATTCAAATTTGGGTAATTCTACTCCTGGTTCTATGCACTTAACCTCTATTCAACGCTGCCTTCTGATTTCTCTGACTGCTCCAAGATCTTTTAGGGCAATTTTGAGCATGGGTGCTGTGGTGATAATCAAAAGCATAATGGTACAAAAATGGATCTTGTAGTATCAAAGTATTTGATATTCCTCATATACCCATAAATGTTGACATTATTTCTTCTGAGGGTAAGTGAATTTATCTATTTATGTTTTAAAATTTGATTGTGACAGTCTTTCATAAGATTCTCCACCTATCAACTTAATACCTTACATATTGTATCAGGTAGGGTATAGAGTGTACACATTAAAAAAAATTTAAATTTAGTGGCTTACATAAAGTAGAAGTTTATTTCTAATTTAAAGGTGTGGTGTGGAAGTCAAGGTTGGGGAAGCAGCTCTCCATGAAGCAATTCGGGGATCCTGTTTCCTTCCATCTTGTTGCTCTGCTAGCTTTGCACACTCACTGGAAGCTAGGTCACTACCATGTCTGTGTCCAGGTGGCAGGAAGAGAGAAGACACAGTGTAGGGCAAGCAACTTTCTTTTGAGCAAGTCATGTAAAAAATGTACACATCGCACCTTCTTCTTATACTCCACAGATGAAAACAAAGTCATGTGGCTGCACCCAACCACAAGGCAGGATGGGAAATGCAGTCTCTAGACAGATGGCCATGGGCCCAGCTAAAACTCAATTCCAATGAAAGAAAAGTAAATTGGGAAGAGAAGAGGAACTAGCAGACACTACATGGCTATGCAGGCACTACATACAAACTGATTTCTGGTTTCAGTATTTTTTTTACTTGTCTCTCTGTTGAATAATATCATTTTTTTTATGACTTCGATGAGTTAAAATGATTTTAAAGCCTAATATCACTGATTAATTGGTTTCGTACTTGCTAATAGTACCTACTCTTTAATTACAGGGTTAGTAAGTAAATAGTTGCTATATATTGGGTGAGAGCATTTTGAAATTGTGTATAAGTGTACATACGTGTGCTGAGTAACTAATGGAAGGAATGGAGTGAACATACACTGTTTTGTCTGCCAAGCATCCTTTTCCCTATCTGACAAATAGCCACAACCCTTCTTTAGAAAACTGACTCTGTCTCATTTCTTGTGGTTGTCAGTGGGGTGAGGGGCCCCTTGCCTTCTGAGGAAAATTGCCTTAAGTAGTTCTTTCTGCATGTACATCAGATTCTGTATCACCATGGTGTAGATTCCACTGGATAAGCCCAGCCCTGGGGCCACAGGAATATGTTATCTTCCTGTGTCTTTTTAGCTAAGGGGTAGGACAGTTCCCTCCAGCTGCTGGTAATCTCTGGGTAAACTCATCACTTGTTTGGCTCTCAGCTCTTCTCTCACCTGTGTAACTCATTCCTTGTATTAGATTCTTTCTATTGTAAGCAGTTGAAGTGGTTTCTAGTCACACTTTGACTGAGGAAATGGCCTACTCCATTGAGTTGTCACAGTTCTAGCCACTCACAAAGACTAATTAGTTGTCTTTCAAAGCCCATTCTCAATTCTTTCAGAAACAAGCTGGTTAGCCCTGTTTGTTCTAGGTTCTTGATGGATTTTGGGAGTGGGAAAAGGGAGAGGTGATTGAGGGTTGGTGAGAGATACTTCTTATGAGCTGGACAAACAGTCCCCAAAGTATCTTCTACACCAACACAGAATGGGAATAGGGGATACCCAAATGTCTCTCCCACAAAATTTTAGTAATTTTTATTAGCCTTATAATCTTTATTTCAATCTTAATTATCTTTATAGTCAAAATAACTCTTAAACAATTTTTATTTTCTTAACAGTGAAAGGCTTTAGTTCTTATGTCTACCTGGGGTTAGCTGCATTCTAATGGATGGCTCTGGAAGATGAAAAGTACTTTCAAAACATAAAATGCAAAAGAATATGAGAGCTTAGATTTCTCGATATTACTCATAACTGTGACCTGTAGCTCTAGTCTGAGGGTGTGCCAGAGGAAGTTCTAGAATGGGGGTGTATTTCAGTTCAGGTTCCCAGAGAAGCAGACACCAAGATAGGGTTGGATGTACAAAATTTTATTGAGAGAATATCAGCAAAAGATAAAAGGAAAGAAGGAGGGCAGGGCAGGAGAGCCTTCAGGCCATGATGCAGGTCTGATACCCGTAAAAGCTAAGACAAGAAGAAGATTGGCTAAGAAGACCCTAAGATTGCAGCCAGTTCTATGAAAGTTTTGACCAGGCCTGTGGGGAATCCTTGAGCCAAAGCCACCCACAGCTCATTTCCTAGTTTCTCAGAAGCCCTTGTTAGTGCTGTTTCTTGATCGACACTTATCCCAACGTTTTCTGAGATTTTGTTAGTTCTGCTTCTTGATCATGTCAGTATTCACTAGTTTAATAGTAACGATGCCTGGTCTAGCCAGAACTGCCAGTTAGTAAGTTTTTTTTTTTTTTTACATTTATTTTCTCTGGTTAAATCTAGCCAGAGCCACTAACTTAACCTGTCCAGGTTCTGCATTAGAGAGGTGCAACAGAAAGACAGAAATCCCTGTGTGAAGCAAGGGTGTTTGTCTGTGAAGAAAGGTCTCCCACACAGGGAGCCGCATATGAAGCTATCTAACTTTTAAAATTTTGATTTTTTTTTCTGGTTTGGTTTCCTTTTTCCGGCCTCAGCACTATCAAATTTCTTTGGAGCTCTTAGTGAAAATAGGCTAATAAAAGGCCATAAATCTTTTTACTAGGTGAAGCATTTACCACTCTAATTAGCATTACCATTCAAGGGCTTTCATGTTGAGGAAACAAACACCAGCATTCCACTTGCGCTTGGGTTAAAGGGAATCTTAAATCATGGTTAAGCAGAGGTGGAGGGCAAAAAGGTTTAGACATTGCCTGCATTTTGATGCCAGTCATCAGATCTTTACTGGGATACCATAATGCTAAAGACACATACCGTCCTAGGTTATGTGGAAATATAGAGCCTAGTATTGAGGGTTTGTGAAAAAATATGTTATATGTATTTCTCTATGGGTTATACTAAAGCAGGTCTGCGCGAAATGCTAATACTCTCCCAAAGCTTTCACAGAGGAAGCGACCAGCCAGCCGATCTGGGTCTTGAAGCATGAGTAGGAGTCTACGCAACTATAGAAAACTGTCTAATGGAAGACCATTTGCATAAAGCAAAAAAATTTAAATTCTTAGTTGGTAGGGCCAGCCTCTCAGGAGGGCCCCAGGGACTGACATTTCTCCTTCCTTTCAGTCTCACTCTGAGAAGGTGGTGGTGAGTGTGAGCGGCTAAGTCCCAGTGGCTGGTTACCAGCCCCCAGCTGCGGGTTAGTCTGGGTCGGTAGGGGTGGGTGGGTGGTGGAAAGATACGGGGTGGAGGGGGAAAGAGAGAGGGAGGCAAAAAAAACAAAACAAAACACAACCCAAAGAGCCTCCCGCGCATGCGCTCTCGCAGTGGCACCGCTCGGCAGAGGGCTGAGGGGGTGCCTGACTCCCCACCTCGCACCTCGCGGGGCC